CTCCTTCTCCTTCTCCTTCTCCTTCTCCTTCTCCTCCTCCTCCTCCTCCTCCTCCCCCCCCTTTTGCCCCTTTTCTTTATGGTCAGAGTGCTTGACCTAAAGCCAAATTATAATGTCTTCACGCTCATGTCCTCTGAGCAGGAGTAAGCACCTACTCAGAAACTTCTACCTTCCCAGTCATAGCAGCTTCCCAAGCCTGAGAAAAACAGTGTTTCTCTTTGATTAGGCCACCTTTGAAGTTTCTCTATGGGCCATTTTAAGGTCATTAACCACGAATGACCACCTCCTACTGCTTTGTTTTCTCTAAGGTGGTCAGAAATGTGGGGGCTCCTCCATAGAAAAACAAGGAAAGGCCCTGGGGCACAAACAGAAAGTGAATTCAGTGATGTAAGCTAACACTTTCCATCTTGAAGTTGCACCACCCAAGCATAAGTTTAGCCCTTTGGAGAGAATTAGGTGAAATGTTTGCAATTTTTCTCATTCCCCCCCGCCATCAACCCTGGAAAAACTCTACTGGTATGAATTACACCACGTAACAGATTGGGAAGCAATTGCCTCAGTTTAGAAATGATCTTAAGGTTCCCTTTCAATAACGATATCTCAGGGGTGAACCTTAAATTTGCCTGCATTTTATACCAAATGAGCCAATGCATTCCATGTTAAAGTTCCTTTGGAAATGTTCTGAGGGCAATTGATCTACCTCGAAAATTCACAGAGCACAGGAGTGATAATATGTTTGTTGTTATCTGGGTCAGCCAGTTATTTTGGTTGTATCTGCATAAGAAAGGAGGCCCTTGTCATTGACCATGCTTTGATGTTTCAGGGCCATCCTGGAATTTCAGGAGAAGTTGGAGCACCCGGCCCCCCTGGACCAGCAGTACGTAATATCCTTTTTCCTTGCTACAGCCCAACGTCTTCACTCTGTTTTTGATACCCACATGTTCAAAGGGGGGAAAAAACTCTGTCCAGTATAGTTTGGAGTCCACTCTTGCAGAACGTGGCTTGTGAATTGTTTCCCCCAAGCACCATAAAAGTAAAAACTCACCCATTAACAAAACTTCATTAAGGAAAATGCTCAGTGCATTCCCCTAAAGCCTTGTTCAGTTTCTTTTGACTTTGCAACTAGAGGTCACCTCCGAATGAACTCCCCCCATCAAATCACCTGAAAAGTCCCATCTCACAAGACCTGATTGTGAGTCCCAAGTTAAGGAAGTTGTCTTCTCATTTTCAAGGGGCCACCAGGAGCTCGTGGCTCACCAGGAATAAGAGGCCCCAAAGGTCGCCGGGTAAGTATGAAATTTACTATATTTTCTACAGAATTTAGAGCAGAACCAATCCTTTGGGGTTTGAAACAGAACTGTTAACCATCATCTCAGAAGTCCTGCCCTGTATTGTTATTAATGGTGGGACATGGAGGAAGGCACTGGTGATTTTTTTTTAACAAGGGAAAGAGGCAGCCCCTTAAATATTCTGTTCTGAAACTGCTTAAATTTAGGCTGGCCTGCAAACCTAATCAGGCATGAAGGAGGTACCCATTCTGCCCTATAAGCAGCGTAGTGAGCATCGATCTCCTCTTCCGACGCCTTCTCTACTGGAGTTGTGAAACCAATTTAGGAATCTCCTGATGCTTAAGGGGCTACAGAACCAAATGCTAGGATTGTTGGTTAAACGACCACCAACGAAACTTAGAAACACAGCATGACTTTGACCCCTCTCTGTAGCTTTGAACTACTCATTCGAGTTCTAGTTCTGTTTCCAAGCCTGGGAGTTCTTGTGGGTAGGCTGTGATGACTGCAGCTTTGAATGATCCACAGTAAAATGCGTTAAAGTTATAAAATCCTGATGTTCCAGCTGCAGAAGCTGTTACCGTGCTCATCTTTCACGTTTTACTTTGACTTTCTAGACGTTAGAGCCCACCCGCTTTGTATTTTACGGTGCTGGTATGAGGTATTCATGGAATACACAAAGCTAGAAGGCTTAAGGAAGAAGCGTTTGTTGGAATAGAGGAAAATCGTCATTGGTGTGCCTTAAAACACGCTTTCTGCACAGCTGGTTGAAAAGAGATTGGTTGGCTGAGATTCTGCGGTAGCCAATCAGAAACCGAGCAAGTTCCTGATTGGTGGGAGGCCTTTTGTTTCTTGACTATTTTTTTAGGAAAGGGAGAGTTTATTGCCCAGTTTATTCCCCCTACTATCAGAGCACTGAGCATCGTGATGTAGTTAGGGGCTCTCCTCTCATATTCCTAGTGGCTGGAAAAGCTACATTGGAGGCATGAATGACGGATGGGAACCCAGTTCTGTGGAGCAGGGATTCATGGAAAAATATACTGCCGCAAATCCTCCGGAGCCAAGAATAATCTCTGTCAATGACGTTTAAATCTTGAGTATTTTGCACCACAAAGAGGTCGTGGAGCCAGAAGGAAGCCTCTCTTTGGCTCCCACTTGCTCTCTCTTTTCCCTTCCTTTTTAATAATTCTCCCCCCCAGAGCCAAGTCTGTACTTCCAGCAGCAGCTTCTCTGCAACTGCGGTTTCTTCGACAACGCCTCTGCCAAACGTTCCCCACGGCGTACAGCTCCTGTGCTTGGCTTCCCTTCCCATAGAACTGGGATGAAGCAGTCCAGGGCCAAGGCATGGCGCCGGTGGCAACGCCTCCCAGCTGCCCTCACCCCAAAAGTTTTGGAAAATTGGTTTTAATAGGGCGGAAATAAGACCCAGCAGACGTCTGCTTTGGTGCGGGGGGAAAGGCTGGATTCTAAACAAGCGCAGCATTTTGTTTCTCGGATCATCGGCTCAGCTTTAGTCTAGAGCAGACCAAGGTTTCTGGAGACCCCCACAATTTGGGAAAAAGTTTTGGGAATTGCTCTGTGTGTATCAAGTCGAGGCCAGGCAAGGCACTTAAAGCCAAACTCCATATACCGCAGTCTTTCCATGTGCTTCAATTAATCACTATTATTTTGAAAGAAGGAATTGGAAGTCTTCCCCCATCATCCCAACTCCCTGTTGGAAATTATTGTCTTCTTTTCCAGTTTTGAATACCCTGAGATTTTCAAAATGAGATCATCTGAGCAGGCTGGGTCTTCCTTGCTTCTGAATTGCTCCCTGTTGGCCCTGGTTCCACCTGCATTCGTGATCTGAGTGCCTTGTTTTTGAAGAACTTGGGTCTCCTGAAGCAGTTATATGAGACCCCTTGAGCATCGCTGAATACTCGCTTGTGTCTCATCAAAATATTTTCTGCCGTTTTTGGAGAGGGGCGATGGACAGAAATAATACTGGGTTAAGCCTTAGTTTAAATATTACAAAGGAATGCATTCATCAATGGGGGGAAAGACCCATTAATTCCACTCACTTTAGAGACAAGAACTGCTCTCGGTTGCTGCTGA